CACGATCAAACGTCAAAATCGTTTACAGTGTTTACCGGCGAGCTGATAAGAATTACTTAGTAGTTTCAATTTATTATTGGTTCTCATAAGTTTTGTAGAAGTTGTTTTCCTGACAAAGAGGTGCTCAATTATGAAACCGTATGTCCATTTGACAGTAGTATTCTCCTTCATTACAATTATCAACTATGTTTCAGCCAAAGGTTGTGTTCAATTGGATTCATTTTCATTTGATAAGGTAAAACACAATCACAAATTTTAGATTTATGTAGGCTTAGTATCCAGATCCAGAAAAATCTTAGCAATCTCAGCCATATTATTTGTAAGTATAATAGATACCAGTATGGATTTATGGTTAGGCAGAGCAATACATAACCTAGAAGACAGAGTGGACTGTCTTTTTAATTGATTATCATTATTTAGGCTGTTCCATTTTTTTTGTCCCACCTTCACATCCTAGGACGCTATGTTCTGGCCCGAAAGTGTTTTACACAATAGTTCTACTTTGGGCTAGTCCTAGAGGGTTACATTAACATTAACTTAAGTTACATTAACTTATTCACGGAAATAATCCATTTGTAATTGGGGGATTTGAACCCGGGACCTTGGGTACCGATACCCCACGCTCTGCCACTAGATCAGCTTGCTTACGGCTATTTCAATGGGCCTATTTAAATTCCAACTCAGTTTTTGCTGGTAGGCCAGACCCAAGTTACTGGATGGGAACCTCTCGCTGATATCCGACTCCATCGTATTTTTAATAAACGTTGGACTAAAAACTATTGGTATTTTCAATAACTCAGTCTCAATCCATGACTACTCTTTATGATCATGTCATATCTTAATGTTCTCAAGAGTGACCAACTTAAAATTAATCTATGTTACGGGTAAAAACCTAACTCAAACACTTGATCGAATTGCAGGGTACAGTTCTGCAAGAACCTACAATTTATTATCAAATGAAATATTAGTTTGATGCATATCGTATGAAATATTGTTTTCACTCTCGATAACTTAACTTATTAATTGAATGTATATTTCATAGAACTCTTTAAGCCATAGGGTCTTTTAAAGAATATTTTACACTGTCCTGCAGCGGTTAAGTTAGAGGTTAGCTTAGTTCAGTTTGGCTTAGTTTAGTTTTTGATAATATAGGCCTCTCGTAGTTTAAATATGTTGTGTAATTTGTTAATGATGTAAATTTACAAAGACCTCCATTTGTAACTATGTTATAAACTGATATAAACTAATCTATCCTATATGCAGCAGTGCACTATTCTAGAGTGGTAGGTAGCTTTTTATTAAATAGACCCATAACAATAACATAAAATCAATATTAACATTGAATTAAAAATACTAATCAATATTTATATTGAATGCAAATTTTAGGCCTATCTGATAATTTAATTTATATAAGTTAGGTTCTCTGCAAAATTTTATTGTTGTAATTTTATTTTATCGTTTGTTATCAAATCCAGTTGTAAATATCGCTGGTCAATACATAAATATCAATCAATCTAATTGGTGAAGCTATATGCCTACATAACAGTTCTGTCAATTCATTTCTTGATAACAAGTTAGGTTTGATATTGAACTATTTTTTTTAAATACAGCAAGCTATACAGTACTGCCACATTGCAAAATATGCCGATTCTGCTAAAAAAAAGTTATTTAAAGTAATAACAGGGTCTAACTTATGTTGCAGGTAGCTTCAAAATTTAAAGCGACCCTTGTAAAGTTTGATGCTGCCTATCCATATGGCCCCAAACAAGAGGAGTATGAGAAAGTGTGTGAAGCCAGCTCTAATGTTGATGACCTTCTTGTGGTAGAGGTTGCTGTAAAAGACTACGGAGAAAAAGAAAACACAGATCTAGCGAAGAAATATGGAGCAGAAAAGGATGATTATCCAGTTGTCAAACTGTTCGTACAAGGAAAGCCCGAGCCATCTGATTTTGTTAAAACAGAAGATTTTACAGCGGATAACTTAAAGAAATTCATCCGTTCAAAATCCGGGGTTTACATCGGTTGCACAGGATGTCTTAAGGATTTTGACGAGATAGCAGCTAAATTCTCGACAGAAAATAATGCAGAAGAGAAGAAAAAACTTCTCCGAAGAGCTGAAGATCTTTGGGATAACGCAAAGGGTAATCAAGAACAAAAGTATGCAGAGGTTTATGTCAAAATAATGAGAAAAGTAATAGAAAAAGGTGATGAATTTTTAAACAGTGAACATGCGAGAGTGGACAATTTACTGAAAGGAAAAGTCAGTAAAGAGAAAAAAGAAGAATTACAACATAGACTTAATATCCTTCAAGGGTTTAAAACTGCATTACATGATGAGTTATAATTTTCTAGATCTCAAACTGTTGTTTTAAAAATGATTGGGGGTTTTCGTTGTGATGTTGCAAAACTATCTTTTTTAGTTCCTATAAAGCTACGATACAAATAGGTTAGGCCTACTTTTAACACAAACTTAAGGAACTTTGAACATTCCTGTTCTCTCTTTTTTTAACTCAATCTAAGAATGAACTTAAACAAACTTTGACCAAAGCTAAGATCAATGTTACATAATGTATTATTTATCAGTATTGAATACTCATGTTTATCTGTTGTCGGTAATTAGTACTATAATAATGTAATAAATGTGAATATTGTTTTTTTACATTTCTGTAACTTAAATAAATGTCATGTGATTAAAAGGTTCGAAACGAATTTCCTGAGATTTTGGCGCAAGTCCTTGATTTCTTCTACTACAGTCTCTGTCTTACCTCATGCAGTTATAATAATAATTACGATTTACGACTATCATGGACTGATTAGTTTATGAAACATGATCGATTTTAAACTTAAAAAGTTGCTGTTACATTCAATATTTAAACTTGAAAGTGCATCTATACAATAAAATGCTCGAGAATTTCAAAGATGGAGCAGGCTTCCAATATATATATTGAAAGAATCAACATTTTTAGTAATATCTGTAAATTTAGGTTTATTTGTCTTGTAATTATCTATATAAATAAAATTACAGTGTTTACATCTACACAATCTTATGTCTGTAGAAAGATAAGCACAAAATTATTGTTATGCTTTTTAACTGGGCTAAAATTTACATAACTTTCTCTTCTTGCATGTGTAGTTTACATTTTGAATCAGCCTTTTGTAAAGTAGCATATAACAACTTTATTTTCCTCTTGATCTCTGGATTGTAGGCTGGATTATTTTCTAACATATTATTTATTAAATTGCCCAAACAGATTAATTACTTCGATAATAACAATATAAAAATTCAAATCAGTAGACAAGACAATGTTGTGTTCATCCATACGTCACATGATGCATGAACTGTGTTACATTTGAACAAAATTCTTTTCGGTCTTACTAACTTGTTGTTCTGGCTAGTTTAAAAATCTAAATATATAAAAGGCAAAGCCCTCACTGACTGACTCACTCACTCATCGCTAATTCTCCCACTTCCCATTTACCTAGGAGGCTGAAATTCGGTACACCGATTCTTTGGGCATTAAATAGGAAAACTAAGTAGTTTTTATTCTGATCGGGCTCCGCCCCAGTGGCTCTGGAGTTTCCCATGTTAACCTTATGATTTTTCATATTTAAAAGGAATTTCTTAACAGCTGTTTCAATTAAACAAGTTGGTTCTGTTCTATGATGTTCAATAGCATTAAAGTTACAAGGATTACCAACAGGGTGCAGCACTATTATTTTTTTAAATTTATGACTACAGCTAATTTGAAACCAAAAGGTGAGTGAGCGTAGCGAACGAACTTCAACCTGGAAGCGAGTTAGCGTAGCGAACGAGCTAACCTGAAGGCAAGTGAGCGCAAAGAACGAGCTCCAACCTAAAGGTGAGTGAGCGTAGCGAACGAACTTCAACCAGGACGTGATTGAGCCATGTGAACAAGCTCACTTGTGAAGTTGAATGGGGCAAAGCCCACGGGTACAGCTAGTTAGGAATAAAAGAGAAAATAAATTGTCCATTGTAAAGATTTTCTCAGGATTTAGTGATTCAGGACAAGTCATTCAGAGGCTAACACATAAAATGTTACAGGTCAAACATTTTGATAAAAACATTTATTAACATTTTAATAACAAAATAGGCAATTCATATAAGCTAAACAATCACTTTATCTTACATATAAAGTAATGGTGTAGGTTTTTTAATGAGAACATACCAGCATACAGAAAATGTCTTAAGTAGCATAATTGCTTAAAAACACAAGACATTCCAAATTTGACACAGATATGATAAAAAATAAATTCACTTGAGCTAGGGTCTTTATTTATTGTTACAAATTGAGATAAGGACACCACCAAGGGAAGTGAGAATTTTAACCCACATATGTGTGTTGAATGAAGTAATGCCTTGTGTCGTTACTGACTAAGATCAGCTGTTTCATTAGACAGGAGCATTTATTAAAATCCCAATGATCAAGAACAGCTGGGTCCAGTTTCAAACCATCAAAAAGCTACTGATGACATTTTCATTGCAAGGGGAGCACTGTAACCAATCAGCTACATAATTTTGATTGGTTCAAAAGTTGATTTACATGCTATTGATCATTGGTTGTTTAATCATTGTTTCAAAACTGTCCAAACTTTCAAAATAAGTTAATATTGAGTGTTTATCCCCAAAGTTTTACTGGTGTTGATATCTTATCAGACAACCTTCATCTCAACGCAACTGTTAAAGCTTCTCATTTTGGTCTTGAGAGAAAATAAGAATAATAAAAATATGAACATTTCTAAATAGAACCTGATCTTTCTGTAAATCTACTTATATTCATCAGCTGGTTAATGGGAATAATTAATTTGTGCGATGTGTAAATATGTAAAAGATTAAGAGGACATTTTCAAGGAAGTGTGGTCAGATGAGCTAAAAAAGAGATAATCTTAAAATATGATTACAACCAATTTTCTTTTCTTTAGATAATATATTTTTGTTTGAACAAAGATTGGTTTGATAAAGTGTTGATCGAAGTAAAGGAAATACCAAACATTGACCTGTTTCTAATTGAGGACCTAACACGCAATATAAGCACTGATAAGACACAACAAATTGTGAACTTCAACTGATTCAACAGGCAAATGATTATCTCAGTCTCTTAAATATTTTCAAATACAATTAGCCTAAATTCTTAGATGTACGTTTTTGGTAATTAAATTTATAGTGTCTTTTTAATGATTTAAGATTTTTCAAGGTATTTAGCTGTAAATATATAACATTATCATTTTTCAGTGACAGGTTAGTATTTCAATTAATAGATTTAATACCTCCATTATTTATCAAATGAGGATTTTTTTATGATGAGAAAAGTAAAAGTAGGACTTTGTTACAATAACTGTGGATAAACCAAGGTTTAAAAAAAATTTAATAAAAATAGAAAAAATATATTTTGAAGTTTAAAAAATGCAAACACCATAACATTCCCCGGAAATAATCTGTGATTATTCAATTAAAATGTACAGTATTATGATGCACTGATTGGTAACAATTTAATAATCTAAGCAAACAAATTTAAAGTCAAGTCAATTAAAATGTAGAGCCTGAGTAATTCCTACTATTTCAATTAAGAGTCCTTGGAGCCTAAACGTTTTAATTCATAAAACGATTAGAAAAGTAGAAAGAAATTTCTATCACACAGTGCACTAGATATTAAAATTAAAAACACTTTGGTCTTTGAAAAAATATTTTGAGATGGTGAATAACTCTTCAGCGGCTGTATGAAATTAACAAAATTAACATTGCTCTTATGGCGGGCAAATCCAAGATGGCTGTTAGCCTGTATTGACTCCCTTGGAAAACAACAACTAAACTTCAAAGAAAATTGTTGATCTCACAGTGCACGAAACAAAGACTTAACTTAAATATTTTAAAATACAATCACTTTGGTATTTGAAAAAATATTTTTGGATGAACCATTTAACAGCGGTTTGAAATAATCCAAGATGTCCGCTAGCCTCCAACGACTCTTAAACCACAATACAGGGCTAGTAATTTAATAGGATTGACACTCGTATAACATCAATGTTTCAAACTACACATAACTTCATAGAACATGAACTGTATATTACATAATCAAATGTACACCTATGGCTATAATAGAACAAGTATATGTACAGATTCAGCATTTGGCGTAGTACGATTCAAACTAACAAAAATATACTTCACATATACACAGCTTAAAACAGCTGGAATACAATAAATAAAATTCAAATAAACTAACCTATTCTTGACTTAAAAGCTCTTTTAATTTCTCGTAAGCAACATTAATAATTCCCCAGCTAATGAAAGATCGGGTATAATTCATATGTACTCCTCGGTAAAACTTTCGCATACTGCCATCACGAGCATAGTAAATCTCGCGAACAGCACCCCATGTCGATTGGTACGGCCCGCCGAGCCGACTTTGTACGTGAACCTTGATCACATTCAGAGGGTAAAACACTGTACTACCAACTGCTCCAATCACAGCACCAATGACAAATCCTTTCATTGTACTTCCAATTAAAGAATCTGCCTTAGGTAAAATGGCATCCGCTTGTTCTCGGGCCATGAAGAAGAACAAGTTCGACGGTCCGTTTCGCAATAATATCGGAACAAGACCGCGATAGAATTCTCTGATACCGTAATTTACAGCTATTACCCTGATGGCGTGCTGGGAGTTCTTGAACTCCGAGTGGAATTGACTATGCTGCATGAGAGTTTGTAGCCTCTCGAAGGGAGCAAGAATAGCTTCCGTCGTTCCTGCGATGTTGGCAGCTACGAAGGTACTGGTGACTTTGGGCACGCCCAGATCTACCAACCTTGAGCGACAGTTCTCGTAGATGCCGAACATGAGCGAGGTGGAGATGGACTTCTGGCATAGAGGAGGGAGAATACCACGATAGAGGAACAGAATACCTTCCTTAGACATTTGTCTGATTGCTCCAGAAACTCCAACATTGTGTAACATCTGCAGACAAGCAAATATAAAATATTAAAGTTGAGAGTCTAAGTTGAATATCTTAACCCTTGATTGGGCGCTTAACCTTTAAAACGTGAGACGGCGCATGCGGATGCTTTTTCTGCATCGCTTAATCATACAAATTTATTCAATTTAAATTGATTTTATCATTTTATCACGTAACTCTGCAGTTAAATTATAACTTAAGTGATAAGGAACACATTACTACATTCAGTGTTCAAAACTGTAGCCTACCTAGCATTTAAAAAAATTACTTGATTTACTACCCACAATAATGGGAAGCTGGTCTTAGTTAGGGCGCGGGACTTTGATCCCCGAAGTCCAGGGTTCAAATCCCACCAATCACTAATGGATTTTATTGAAATGATAATGCCGCAACCCTTAATCTCAGACTGAAGGAATGTAAAAACGCTTCTGTGCTGCAGCCTAACAAAAAAATCTTAATAATTTACTTTACTTGTAATTTTTATATAATAACTACAAGACTGTTAAGTTATTTTTACAGTCAAATGTAAAACCCTACAGGAGTTAAATATATTGAATAAAAATTGGCTTGCGCGGAGTTATACTTGCTCAGGAGACTTGACAATAATTTGGACAATAGCCACCAGCAGAGCCAGGTGTTATTAGCCATTAGAATGTGAGAGTCACGAGACTTGGCTTATACTAGTTGCCAAACTTTTAATAGAACCAGCTGTGAATGTAAAGTTCTATTTTTAGAAAGTCGAAACAATCAATTAAAACTGCCAAAAAAGGGAAACTGTAATTTTTAATTTTACAAAAAATAATAATTTGAGTATATTTAATTGAGATTTCTTCATCAAATGATACCTAAAGTTTGCCACCCAATTATTTCAAAGATAAGTGTAATGGCTTTTGTAATGGGTAATGGGTTTTGTAACAGACCTTTGACCACTCAATTAAATCAAGACATAATTTAATTTCATATTTAACTAATTATCATTAATCACAAGTTAATTAAATAATCAATGACTAGATAGCAGAGACTGATCGGTTACTGGATATTGAAACAAATTAAAATCTACACGGGTAATATTTCTCATCCCAAGAGTTGATTCTGTAATGGCTTAAAACGTTGCTATTTGACTGTCTGTAAGTGCTTATGAAATGGCCGTGTCCAGTAAAAGTGCAACGGCCAACCTTAAATATCTTTCTTCAGAGACATTTTGGTAGAAATTAGGTAGGCTGTTTTGCACGTAACTGAATTTATCGGTTGTCTGTAGTACGTTTTACAGCACAAAGGTAAGGTTAGTTTAGTACGTCTGCTGACTGATTATTACAATTCCCAAAGTCGAAAGTCACAATTATTTGCTAAGTCATCTCCAACTCAAGTAATGAAGGGTGGTGATAACATGTGAGAACTAATGCCACATGGTTATTTCTAGTTTTAGGCTAAATTGATTTAAATTTAAGTAGTAGGTTTGGTTAATTTACGATCATATTCAGTAGGTTAACTAAATCTGAGTCAGCCCTATAATTGATTTTCTGACAAAGATACATCCAACATTTCTTCATTCATTTATCCAACTCTGTGCACTTCTCAAAACGTCTCCAAAGACTCGTTTACACGAGGCCAAACTGGCTTTGTATAAGAGCGGCTTAGCACAACTATATTATACTATATATATACTACTATATATAGACACAAAATATATTACTTGGACACAAAACACAATACGACATTTATTAAAAAAAACTTGGCGAAGTAGTCCAAACGAGAGGTGCACAAGAAGAGTAAATATATAAATGCTGATGACCTCATTCATTAATGGGAAAATTGTTTTAACGTTCTTAACCTGAAGATGTGCTTTTAGCAGCAAGAAACAGCTGTAGTTATTTATAAAACAAGGATCAGCTGACGCAAAATGTAATCTAAACCTTTTTAATATCGCTATATCCTATCTTAATCCAGAGGCTAACCCATCAAGAAACTTTTGAGTGCTTCAACTAAATTATTCTTCATTTTTGAGGTGTTGCCTTCTGGATTACTTAACAATATTATTCTAGAGGTTAAATACCTTATTGTTGCCACTGTAATCCACTGTAGTCTGGATGGCGACCGGTTTTGACACTCATGGTGTCATTGTCAAGCCTTTAAGACGTGTTGTCACTCCTAGGAGGTCGTCATAAAGTCTTGGAAAATAAATACACAAGACACGCACAAACATAGGAGTGACAACACGTCTTAAAGGCTTGACAATGACACCATGAGTGTCGAAACCGGTCGCCATCCAGACGACAGTGGATTACAGTGGCAACAATAAGGTATTTAACCTCTAGAATAAATTATTCTCTCTTATTTCAGGAAATATTTCCCTTTCCTCTTTGGTTAAAGTACTATTGGACCATCAATCCACCCTCTGGATAAAGGGATAAACCTATCCGTTGTCTTCAGCTGATCAACAAACGAGTATGTTTAATCAGGGACCAAAATAATTCCAATATGGTGATTATAATTTTTAATCAAAGTACCTGGCGAAAGATAATCTTGTTGAGCGGAAAAGTGATGGTGATGTTGACAATCGCAGCACCCCAGCCGCAAACAAACTCATTCAAATCAGAGTTTAAAGCCAGCTTGGGGGTAGGAGGAGACATGGTTGATAAAACCGGCGGTTTTCCCTCTATTAAATTACCTTTGGATGACATCTTTGAGGACTGAATCACTGGACAATCTTCTGCAAACATGTACAAGTAAATAATTTCAACAATTATTGTTTGGAACCTAATTTTCACATTTACTTTTTGTTATTAGAGAGTTTTTGCACCTTACGTTAACTAAATACTTGCGTTAAATAACTGCTATCATAGCTCAATGGCTAACGCTTCCGACTATCACCCAGCAGACCCGGGTTCCATCCTTGGTCAAACCAACACTTTTAGCAATAAGCCTTTACCCATTAACTTATAGCGGGCCCTCTATTTCAAAGGATTTATCATAGTTTTTTATTGAACTGTTAAAGCCAGCTGTTATGTGTAAACAATTAAAGACAACCTAAGTTGGAAGTATATGCTGAGTTTATTTTTAAAGCGTAATTAGATTTCTTGCTTGGACTTTTCTTCAAAATTGATAAAAAACGTTTTAGATTCACCCTGAATTATGAAATACTGTAGTGTTATCAAAAGAAGTTCTATGTGAAACGTGAAAACCCTTTTGAAGATAATGGAAAGTGAAATGATATTGATCAGTTATAGCTCCTAAAGCTGATAAAGTTCAAGTGATTCTCTATAACTACAAAATCAATCACAACCAAGTACAGGGTGCTTATAAAAAAACTTTACAACTTCAAACAACCGTAGAACCTTAATTTTTTTCACATAAAGCTATGAAATAACAATCAGTCTAGGAAATTGTTTCAAGTTTTTGTAAATTTGAAGGAGTTTTTACCAACTTCAATTTGTTTTCTTGTACACAAACAATTGTCTAAATTCCAGTTCGGACCAAACACGGCCTGTGTTTGGAAACATCAACAATCAGAGTAGAAATGTTTCCATTGATATGTTTAGTCGAGTAAATATAGGCACTTGAGATAGAACAAATTCCAACAAATGGTTTTTCGACGGTTTTTGGTAGTAATAGGTGTAGAAAGTACCAGGAAAAAAGTCTACCAAAATCGGACAACCGGAAGTCGGGTTTTTCCAAGATGGCCGCCGCGAGGCCCTCAAATCGACAAGATGACTGCAAATTCGTCGATTCATAGTTCCAGGATTGGCCGATTTCTACAAAAATTGGCAAACACATGTAGAACTATATTTCCAACCTTAAATATGAGAACTAGGCAGACAAAGTAACCCAAAGATGAATTTTCAGGGTATTATGTGCTAAAAAATAAGATTTTTTTACCTCAAATATATGTTTTTCTAATATTTTGTTCAAAGTTTGTTATAATTTCAAATTTATTTTTTCACCATTAGATTCAACACAAAAAACCTAACAATTTGGTATATTGAATCTTTGTTCTGCTTCAATTTCTTACAGAGATATTGAAAGTAATAACTTTAGTATGTTTTCTTGCCGAGATAACTCAATGTTAATCTTATGGAGAATAAGCATAAATATAAATATTATTTTTCATTAAACCTATATAGATAAGACTTTTTTTCTGCTTCATATTATCTGCTATAGTATTTTTTTCTAAAAATTCCTTTTTTGGCAGTTACCATTACAGCAAACCTACGTATTCGGTTCCTCAGTTTTAATAATAAAGACAATAAGCAAAAATCAATTTTTTTATTAGTCCGAGAAGTATAGAATAAAACCTTAAAAAATTGTAAGAAAACGTTTTATGGTTTTATGTTGTAGTGTTGAGTATGCAGAGTAACATAGTAAAAATTACCAAAAATCGGTCTACTGGAAAACCCCTAGAATCAAGATTTAATATGACGGATTTTCTCAACATTGGAAAAATTAAAAAAATCCACATGCATTTTCATTAATATTGACTTCAGACCACCACCGATATTTATTGGGTGGTCATTTCTTCATTTCGATAGGGAGCGTGTTTTCGGTTGTCATTTTGGATCCCCCTATCGGATATAAATATTTTTTTAAATGTAATGACAGTGTCATTTCAATAGGGAACGTGTTTTTGGCCGTCATCTTGGATCGGCCATATTGGATATAAATAATTTTTTTAATGTAATGGCAATGTTGTGACACATTATTTTAAACTAGATTTTCACGCCCATTCCATTGCCAAAATGAGTTTTTAAATATCTTTTTTCGTTTTAAAGATATATTCAAACGAAAACTCTCCTGCATACATTTCTTAAGGACGTTTCGTATTTTGAACATTTTTTAAGATTATTTTTTTCTTATATCTCTAGTACATATTAACGCTTACAGTTCGTTCTAGCCTTAAACATATAGTAATGTAAGGGCTTTCATTTGAGCTATTGATCATTAAAATATGACTAGTTAGAGACTAGTTACCAACCCCAACAAAATATTAAATTTCACTTTTTAGAAATACATTTTTATTAAAATATTTATGTCTTGGGTTCTTAATACGTCACCAAGTTCTTTCTGGTTTCATATTACTCAGTAAATGTTAATGGGTTAATTTTTTTAATCACTAAATAAAATGTGACAAATTTAATATAAGTCTGTCTTATTTAACAATATTTTTTTTCGAGATTTGTCTTTAGTTTAAGACATATACCCCCAAATCGAAAAATAACTCCCAATACTCTTTATAATCTTAAAAGATTCATCAAAGTATTGACTTTTACTGAAGTTATGGATTATTTATTGGGAGTTATTAGAATTGGGGATATATGTACTTAACTAAAGACAAATTTCAAATGCAAATAATTTAATATTACCTAAATTAAGATGCATGACTCATTTTTTATTAATTAGTCAGATATTATTTAGTGACTAATAAAATAAAAAACCTAATTCTCTACTGAGTAATTTGAGACCAGAAAGAACTTGGTGACGTATTAAGAACCCGAGATATAAATCATTTAATAAAAACTGATTTATAAAAAGTTAAATTTAATATTTTGTTGGGATTGGTATCTTGTCTCTAACTTGTCAAATTTTAATGATCAATAGCTCAAATGAAAGCCCTTACATCATTAATTATTTAAGAATGAACTACTAACTGAAGATAAGGAAAATAATCGTAAAAAAATGTCAAAGTACAAAACGTTTAAAACAAAAAAAAGTATTTAAAAACGGATTTTGGCAATGGAATATGCGTGAAAATCTAGTATATATAGTAATAATGTGTCACAACACTGTCGTTACAACAAAAAAAAAATTATATCCAATAAGGTGGATCCAAAATAGCGGCCAAAATAAGTTTCCCATCGAAATGAAGTACTGACCCCCCAATAAATATCGATGTTGGTCCCAAGTCAATATTTAGAAAATTGTGCATAGAAAATGCTTAGGGTAACTTTTTTCAAAATTTGTCCAATGTTGGGAAAATCCGACTCTGCACACCCAAAACTACAACATAAAACCATAAAACGTTTTCTTGTATTGTTTTTAAGGTTTTATTCTATACTTCTCGGACTAATAAGAAATTGATTTTTTCTTATTCTCTTTATGATTAAAACTGAGGAACCGAATACGTAGGTTTGCTGCAATGGTAACTGCCAAAAAAGGAATTTTTAGTAAAAAAAATATCAAAACAGATAATATGAAGCAGAAAAAAGTCTTATCTATATAGGTTTAATGAAAAATAATATTAATATTTATGCTTATTCTCCATAAGATTAACATTGAGCTATCTCGGCAAGAAAACATACTAAAGTTATTACTTTCAAAATCTCTGTAACAAATTGAAGCAGAACAAAGATTCAATATACTGAATTTTGCTATTCCATAACTAGAAGGATTACAAAACAATTTAATTTTTCAAGAGAACAGTGCTCCTTCACACTGGAGATACTTTGTCTGAGATTATCTGGATAGGTTATTCTTAAACCATTGGATTGGCCATTATGGGCCAACTTCTTGTCCTCCTAGGCCATCAGATATTATCTTGTGTGACTTTTTTATGTGGAGCTTAGTTAAGGATTGTGTCTTTGCCAATTAAATTAACACCAAAAAATAACTAAGTTAATAGAACGAATCAGGAGAGTGTTTGCTAAAATAAATTGTGTTATTTGAGGTCATGTTTGGTCCAAACTGGCATTTAGACTTGATTATTTGTGTGCAAATAACGGAAAATACTCGAAGTAACGGAAACTTCTTATTATATGCACCAAAACTTGAAATATTTCCTAGACTTTGATTGTTATTAGATAGATTTAAATGGAATATAAAGGATATATGGTTGTTTGAAGTTATAAAGTTTTTTATAAACACCCTGTATATTGCACAATCCTAACCTCCAAGCATTGATAAATACAAAACCTCTGCTCCATTTTAAGTTTAGTGTTAGCGATAAATGTAATTTTGACGGAGATACAAAAACTTTAAATTAGGCCCTCATATGTTGAACACCAAACGCTTTTTTTAACGTTGAGCGTTTGCATTTAGAAAGATTTTTTTTTAGAAGATGCAAAACTTCTCTAATGATTAGTTTCGATAATTAAAATGTTTGACAAAGACAACAGTAGTTGGATTATTTTTATGCACAATTCTTTAATCATGTAAAAATTTCTTATTGAAATACATTTCAATCTGGTTATCAAAGAGATAAACCCAAATAATATATAGTCTACAGTAGATCGTGTCAATTGGCATAGTGTGTGGGAGGGGTGAGGGAAGGGCTCACACAACTAGACGCTAGTGGTATTAAATGAACTCAACAGCAAATTCTGGTTGAGATTACTAGGTACAAAATAACAACTGTGGTTATGGGAAGGGCCTGCTTGTATTTGACACAAACTATAGGCTACTACATTTTATTTAGACATTTCATGCAATATAAATTATATTTATTGTTAAAATATATAGGTATACCGGTATGATCGACGGACCATCTTACTAAAACATCATTCTGTTTAAAGTTATTATTTGGAATTTATTAGGAGTTTATGGCTTGTAGCGATAAATGTAATTTTTACAGTGATGCAAAAACCTTAAATTAGGTGCTCTTATGTTAAATGCCAAACGCTATGTTTAACATTGAGCGTTTACAAAATATCAGTCACTCTTTTGATTAATGTTAAATTGACTTAATTTGCTCCACTTAATGAATAAAAAATATCTCTTTGTCTCCTACCTCATACTAGAGAAGCCAGGAACCTTTTTGTCTGTTGATTTACTTTCCTATCTAACAATTGAAGATGATTGGTACCGGTTCTACTATATCCATGATGTTGCTGAACCTAAAATAAGTGCAAATTAATTATCATAACTGAGGAAATAACTCAAAACTCAAAAAGTAAGTAAATTTTGGTTTGGATACAATTAGGGGTACAGAGAAGAATAAATATACTGTAACCCAACTACTGAAGCAACTATTGTTCTAAACCTACAATTTAAAAAGATTAAGTAATATGGCTTTAACAAAAAATATTTAACAAAACCAAATCTTTGGTTCAAAACATCATGGTCCATGTGGCTGAATGATGCCAAATTATCAATTACTTATGATATAGCAGGGGTCTAGGCATATAGAAATATTTTTTTAAATTAACCTGTATGGTTAAGTTTTATTAAGGTTTTTTTTTAGTTTTAGCATAGACAAATAGAATAAATATAGACCGTCAGCTGTGCTGCGGTTAGCATAAGTTCTGTCGTCCACCGCTAGGTCACACCACTGCAGCGTCTGCTGGTCACATACGGCTCCTGCGCTCCTCGCCTACAGCGGTGTGTGCCGTAACTACACAACAAACCTAGTGGTGGGCGCCGGAACCTTCCTTTGACAGTCTATATTTATTCTATTTGTCTATGGTTTTAGTGTCCACAAAAGTGGCATTTAAAAACAAAAGCTTCAATGAAATACGGTTCAAATCACAGGATAATCTTGGTGTATAACTTAGTCTATCCCGGGGATGAAACCCACCATTTCACACCAAAGTCCATTATGCCAATGCCAACCATTGACTAGTCCAACAACTGTTTGGGTCAGTCCCCAACAATGTCAAAAATACGACATAACTTATCCAGCAGTTTTAGGGATGTGTCAGATGATGCCAGTATAGCTGGTAAAAGACCTCATAAAATAAACATTTTAAAAAATGTCATGAGGTATCTAACTTAAATTAAAAAATTAAACGTCCTCAATACATCTGAATTAAGACAGTTATATCTGAAGTAATTAAGGACTCTAATGAGCTCCTATCAAGCCCAAACCAAGTAAGTTACCTAACTCAAACCTAACACCAGTAAGTTAATAGTTATTGAAGTACCTATTGTATATTCTGCCCAAACTACTTTCAACCCAGTTCACCCATACGTATGTGGCTATTAGTTTTGTTCAGTAGCCAATAATTAGGGTACAGTTCCACAGAGAATCTGCAATAAATAACCTAGAAAAATAGGGGAAATCACTGCTCCCACCCAGACTGAATTGGGTTTTGTGATTAGGTTTAGGAAGAGGTTAGTTACCTTAAAATGCTCTTTATCTCAAAAAAGGGGAACATATGCTTTCGGCCTGTCACCCATCAGGTTATCTATGGTTAAAATATGAAATGATCTATGACTATCAATAGTAGAGGAGTTATCGATTGACAATAGTTTTAGTTTGATATTACGATGAAGTCAGATACCTACCAAAGTTTTGTCGCAAAAAAAAAACACAACTTTGGTGAAGTGCAAGTAAGGTAATTTGAAATTGAGTCTTCTCATATAACCTGTACCACAGTAAGTGTAGGCCTATCTTATTTCGTTTGGAAAATATTAAATACATTAAAAACGCCAACTGAATTTGGGTCGAGCCTTACAAATGTTTTCTTGAAAGGAATAGCCTAGGCTATCATGGTTTAGAAAAATACTCACCAAGCAAATGTAGCCAACAAAGTAATTGAACTAAATCATGGCAAATTGTATCATACACACCATAATCGATTCTTAAACACTTAACAATAATGACTTTTCACTCATTCGTTATTCATAAGTTAATAATAATTTCCTACCTAATCCTCATCTCATTCCTCCCTCACCTTTAAATTCTACTTGGCTTTTGGATTGGCTTGGACTTGGACTTGGACTTGACACTTGAGAGTTTTTTTGAGCCAGCTGACGAGTGATGTGCATTGATGAGAAGCAGTAGACACAGTAGACAAAACTTAATCATAGACCACAGAGTATGACCAATTCAAGTAACTCTTTGCTCTCTAGTGATATAGACATAGGTAACTAAGTTTGAGCTGTTATGATAGATTATTTAATCCAATATCTTACCATAGATAAATAGAATAAATATTTGTCTATGCTCTTACCTATGGGATGTTCCATGTTCTATATTAATTTTTGTTTATTTTACACCGAAACAACATTTTACATAGTACATTTCTTTGTCTTATTTTCTATAGCCATACAACAAGTAATTACAAAGTGGAATGCAGAAATGCAAAACTTGTAGCTATGCCTAACGGTTAATAGAGATTTTATTTTTTTCATTGTCTATTGATATGGAATAGTAATCAGTATTTTAAATCCATACTTTATTGAGCAAAGTTTATCAATCTAAGCCATTTGACGATACGTAATCAAATAAATTCATAAATTCCTACTTAAAACCCATATTAAAGGCAATTAGCTATTTCAACTTAGAATTAATATTTTCTGGCTGTATTACTTGGATACTTACTTGGATACTTGACGTCTATGTCGTTGACCGATGATATCATCGGTATGACTGCGTCATATTTACTTAATACTAAGACAATAATTTACACACTACTATTTACACCTTGGCAATGGCTAAAAGTGGCTCGTTGCGTTGCCTGGTTCTTCAAGGCTGTAAAAGAGGCCTATTAACCAGCCTGTCACGTAGGGCCCTCTTAAAATCATCTAGGTCCAGGTTGCGTACATGCACCGGCAAGGAATTAAAAAACCTTATCGCAGACCAAGGATAGCTCATCAGTGAGCGAGCTAGGAGGCATCTCGGCAAATCAATGTCACAAGCTTGGCGGGTATGGTGACTATGTACACAGCCACCTCTGGCTGTGCTATGTATATTGTCTCTGACAACAAAATGGGTGGATATTAACCTTCAGCAGGATTAAGATGTTGAGGAAATACTGGCTTTAAACAGTCAACACACCCAGCTCCATGAAGATGGGACGACAGTGTGCTTTGTAGCCAGAAGATGTTATTATCCTCAGCGCCTTCTTCTGTAGTAGAAGTAATTCCTGTGTCAATGGAGAATGGCCCCACAGAACCAGGCCATACGTGAGGTGACTGTGAAACAGCGCGTGATACACCGCTAGCAAATACGGTCTGTTAATGGTGGTCCTAAGCTTCCTTAAAAGGTAGAGAACTCTTGAGAGCTTTACACATACCTTTTCTCAATATGGTGGTACCAACTTAGCTTTGAATCCATCCAGAATCCAAGCAGCTTTCACGCTGTTTTCCTCAAGGCCGATCTTTAAGGAACATAAAAGGGTCTGAGTCTTCTCCTCGTCGATCTTTGCGCCCTGTCCCCCGTGGCTCATTTGTACTAACCCCCAACCAAAAAAGGGAGCGAGCCAAAGGCGAGTCACCCTTTCTACAGCATCCAACGAGTTCATCGATTGGAGGACCACAGCTGAAATTAGAAAATCTGAAATTTCCCAATTCCAAAGACTTTATTCCAGATCAATAAATGTCTTATGTCTTATTAGAGATCCATGGCCTAAGATGTCAACGTTACCTTACGTTACGTCATAGTAAAACATGTTTTATCTATGGTTACGTTATGCCATTATGATTTAGTCCATGGTTTCAGCACGTCAGAGATACAATATTATCATCCCCGACTATTCATATTTTATATTTATATCCAAGGATTTAGATACATATTTAATTATATATTATTATCTTTCTGTACTGAATTATACTCTGGAGGCCTGTTCTTGAATCAGCTGTCCCTAGTCGTGTTTGGTTTGTTCTTGTTGACATGTCAAAGTAAGAACAAGAAGTGGGGTGTTGTCGTTGTCGTCTGGTATGATTGGTATGATGTTATTCTGCTTATGTGGCAGTTGGCAGTAGATAAATAAACTTTCAAATTTCCTCAGGCTGAGGCTAGGCTCTTTCTCCTGTAAACAACTGAACAGAATTATATTTCTGTACCTTAACAACGCTTTGCTAAGGTATGATAATCAATAAGATTAACATGTATATTAGTATCTCCAGAGACTTATACAGCATTTTATTGTTATGTACTAGTTACTATTATTTATTAACATTAATAACCCGTTTTAAACGAAATTATTAGTTGGCAACAACAGAGGATGGGAATTAGAAAGTATGAAACAATACACACTAACTTATTATGATAGGCTCTACTCTGTTTGGCATGTATCATTTTAGTTTCCTACCATCCTGATTAGTTAAGCTAGGCCTACACTCAAACATGTAATAGGTTTCTTGTAGGTATAATACCTTTTTTTATCTAAATAATTATTCCATATGGTTGTAGATTTCCTATAGAATCCATGTATGCTATATAGTCTGTTATGGTGCCACGTCTAATTACATCGTACCTGAAATACAGTAGGTCTAGTCTCCCACAATTCATGATTCTAGAAACCACCAGTTAGCCTAATTAAACTTAATACTTTTAACTGTAAAATTATTCTCTTGATATTTAATCTATTATGTTTTATGCAATGGAAGCAGACCCTTAGGCAAATCCTAGGCTAATAGAGGATGCCAACCTCATAAAAAAAAATATTTTGATGTCACTTGATCTTCTAATCTTATATTTACATCCATCTCAAAACAATTAGGCCTATTGAAAATTAGCCTATCTTACATACCTTATAAAACTTACCAATATGTCCTCAAAACAAAACAATAATTTAGGCCTACTCGCAATACTTTCAAAAACATATCTCTTACATATTTCTTTACTTATATAACCTAGATAAATGATGTTTAGATAAAATTACAGTAGGCACAGAGATGTGAGGTACAGAGGAAACACTCAATGGTACACCTACATGGTGTCTAGCACTAGCCGCTGGTGTCTAGGGCAAAGTTTAATACCACCCCCACCCTCACGTACTACAACGATCACAGTGGAGGTGGAGGAAGTCCTGTGTCCTGTGAGATATGAATTTCCGCACAGTGTTTGCCGCTCGGGCTCTTAATTTCTCAACACAGGCATATTTCTGGCCCAATATACCAGAGTTGACAGTGCACAACGGTCCAATAAGCTCTCTGTACCTTACTTCTCTGTGAAGTAGGCCTAGGTGTTTATTATCAAATTATGTCCACCATACGGATTGAATCTACATTTATTGTCCCGACTTGAAAATAGCTGGTCTTTGTTAACTAATAACAAAGCTACACCTGGAAACTCACCTTTTATAATCTAATTCTACCCTCATTTGCATTAAGGACTAAGGTATCCCCAGTTGCGTTCCCATCCTCGTTTTGGTGATGGTAATGTCAGCCGTGTTTAACTACAGTTTATTTTGTCCTAGGACGCTAGGCACGAGCCCGGAATTGTTTTTCAGATTACTTCAGGCTAGACCTAGGGGTTACGGCATTACACTTAGATAAAATCCATTGGTGATTTGGTGGGATTTAAATCCGGGACCCCAGGAACCGGAGTCCCGCGCTCTAACCACTAGACCAGCTCACTCCCCAATTACAGTAGAACCTCTTTAATTCGAACTAATTGGGACAAGTGGTAGTTCGGACTATTGAATAGTTCGGATTACAAAGCTTACATACTGTGATATTACCCTTGAGCCTAATTATTAGTATAGAGGCTTGGCATTTCTGCTGTAAATTTGACTTTGTTAATGCTTATGTAGCCTGAAAGACAATAAACATATTCTTATTCTTATTCTTACTTATTGTTAATTGTTTTAACATAACAATAAGCTAAAACGTGGCTAAAATGGATCGTAACTGTTTCGGGGAAAGTGAAAAATACTTTACAGTATAAAGTAAAATACAGTGTTTATTAATAGGCTACAGTAGTAATCATAGTGAATAAACAGCACTGTACATTACAATAGGAACAATTATGGTGCATATATCAATTAATACAGTATACAATAAAGAACTACTGTAATGCGTATAGAGTACAGCAATGAGGCGTTCGGATTACAGGGGTTAGGATTAAAGAGGTTCTACTGTAATTACATTTTTTTAGACCGCCTTCCCTTAAAAAGGTTTGAATTTACTTCATTAAAAATGCCACTGGCGTAGGTAGGCTACAAGAAAAAAAAAATACCAGGTATGAACTAACAAGAGTAAGTAGCCTACAAAGAGTACATTTACAAAGTTACAGCCAATCAACCATACTACGCCTTCAAACACAATGGTCCTTAAACAAAAATTACAAAAAAACCTATTTTGTTTTAATTTCCACCCAACTTTTCAGGTAAACAATGAGGCAGCTCAAAGGAAAGACAAAGGAGTCTGCAAAGGAGCGAAAGCAGAGGAAGAAAGAGTTTCTTGAGAACAAGAAGAACGTAACAACGGTAGTCTTGCCCGTCTTAGGTGTCATATTCTTCTTAATCGTAGTTTACGTTTACATGAAAACAAGGCCAAAGACCATTGAACAGTACTAAAACTAACATGTCCAGCCAAATCAAACTGCCGATGGATCGTAAGATCCAAAACATTCCTAATGAAAGTTGTAATAAGCGTGTAAATGCAAAAGATATTTTTCTATAATTTTTTACTCTCATATTTTGTACAGTTTATTTTCAATACATTTGATACTGTTGTGGATTCTATAGAATAGTTTAATGTTGTTGTCGCCCTTTTTGGGAAGGTATTGGAAGTGAATTTTAATAAAATATGTATATATGAAACTGTGTTAGTTTTGTTTTCCTTTTGAATATTTGGCCTGCTAGTTTGATCCTAGATGTCATTAATATGCTTAGGTACTTCATTGATCAATGTGGTGTGTAAGAGTGTGATTTTCATCAGCTAAATAGTTCTTTCTTCAAAGAAAACATTTGCTCACTCCGAGGTTTGCAAACTTTTATGATGCAGTTTTGCAGAAAATATGTATAAATTACAGGCTTCAATTTTCCAATTTAAAGTGTGAGGTCATAACTCTGTAATATTAAATCTTTTGTAAATAGTATTGTGTATGCAAAAGAACATAAAAACTTATTGCTGATTTGATTATCCAAGTAGAAACAGTGCCACTAACATTAGGATAAAATCTTTACCTTGAAAATGTTGTCTTTGGTCAAAAAAGAAACAGCTTAATTGTTAAGATGTATATTGAATGTCACGGCCACCATTAATTGTCGCCACTTTTTGATTGATTGTGTCTGTAAGATCCATTAGGGTTGGGGGTTTGTGAGTGTAGACGCAAAATTTGAAATCACCAAACAGCAAAAATTCATTACGCTCAAATCTGGTGATGTTGGGGCAACAGAAAATCACACAAACTTGCAATAACCTTTCCTAGAAACATAGTACACACCTTGATCATTAAGGTCTTAGCAGTGTGCGCGGTGGATCTTGTTGAAAATAAACATAGGTATTGTTTATCAAACGTCTCACCTGTGACCTCGATAAAAAACTGCTTGAGCATATCAACACAGACAAATCAAAGCTTGCCAAAACCGACTCTACATCTACAGCGTCCTAACAGTTATTTTTCAATCAAGTGATTTTTTTGATGCATTGTTTTCCAAAAATTGTCACACCATAGAATTGTATTTTGGCGGGAAACTATATCATGGGGTCTAAGATGAAATGGAACTGAAAAAAGTCACTGTGCTGCCGTGATAGGCATTCTGCACATACTCATTATAAGCAAACACACTGTTTTCTGTCTGTTGCTCCATAGTTAATAAAATGGCATAATATGACAATCAGTGACACCCCTCCCTACAATAACTGTAATGCATATACTATTGGTTTAAAAAACGTCCTGTTCCTGTTGGCCACCCTGTATAAACATTTAGTGCCCAAACCCTCAATGTCCCTTTGGAATAATTGTTTAAACATCTCTTATTTTGAACGGTTTAATGTTTAAAGTAACTGCTTTGTAGATTATTATGCAAAGCCTGAGTTACTTTAGTTGCTGACTCATGATCGTGGACTAGTTGACTAATCAGCTGATTACATGAATTGATGTTATCAGTGATTAGATCCTTATCAGCAGCAGAGCACCCACTACCCTGCATGACTAACTTTTGTAAGTATACATTTTTGATTCAATCATTGAAGTAGCTAAATAATTTCTGAACAAGAGAAAACGTAGCTTCAAATAAGCTAATTGTATCTAATGTTAGTTGATAAGTTTCTTAAAACTACTTAATTTCTTAACTGCTCTTATGCGGAACCACAGCTTTACATGACACAATCTAAGAATGATTAAGAATGACACAACCTATTAAAGTAACTTTAAAACAAAAACGAACACCATTAGAAATTGCTATGCTAGGTACTTTATACCACCAACAAAAACAGTCAAAATTAAATATCTAAAAGGGTTAGATTTTTTTGCTACTTAAATATTCAATAATATCTTTTTTTATCTGTTTTGACACATTTTCATTTCATTTAAGACTTTTTCTCAGTAAAAGCATTGTGTTATGCAACAAACTTTTGAATATAATGTTTTTGTTCAATAAATAAATTGATTTATCGATAAACTTATATTAGGATGATTTGACTTCCTGTACCATACTATACAGTGTGATAGAAAAGTCCCGGAGCGGTTAAATATTTTAAAATATAATGCAGATAGAGCTACAATACTTGGTACAAAGTTACAGGGCATAAAACTCTATTTTAACACATATTCAGTGATCCAATAACTCTTCAGGGGGACGGCCCACAAGGAGTCGGAAGAAAATCTTAAATGGAAGCATAGGTCAATATGCACATCAAATTAAAGGTCTTTTTTAGTAGAATACAATGCCGCAAACCGCACTTCAAAAGGTTGATCCTGCGCAAAATGACAGTTGTTCAAAGATTCATTTAATTTACATTGCTATTATACGCTTACTCCTCAGGGGGCACAGCCCTAGGAATCGGAAGAAAATTGTTAACGTAAGCATAGGTCGATATGCACATCAAATTAAAGGTCTTCACTAGTAGATTACGATGCCGTAAATTCAAGCTCAAAAGAATGCCTGAGTAAAAAATGACAGTCGTTCAAAGATTCAAAATGGCGGATTCAAGAAATCTTTGAACATCTGCCATTTTGCGCAGGATCAACCTTTTGAAGTACGGTTTGCGGCATTGTATTCTACTAAAAAAGACATTTAATTTGATGTGCATATTGACCTATGCTTCCATTTAAGATTTTCTTCCGACTCCTTGTGGGCCGTCCCCCTGAAGAGTTATTGGATCACTGAATATGTGTTAAAATAGAGTTTTATGCCCTGTAACTTTGTACCAAGTATTGTAGCTCTATCTGCATTATATTTTAAAATATTTAACCGTTCCGGGACTTTTCTATCACACTGTATACTGGCCTTGCAGAAACACTCTTTGTAAAAGACACAATTCTTAAATATTCAATTAAAATGTAAAGCAGTAATATACAAGCTGGCCATAAGTTTTCAATTGTTTGGATAAAATATTAGGCATTAGTAGCTGATGTATATAATAATTAAAATTAAAATTTTGTGTAACACTGTTTTTAATATATTAAAACTTATTACTTTACAAATTAAATTATTTTCATACTCATTATCAAGTTTGAAATCAAACAATAAGTGTTGAGATCAAGCTGATGCATTAATATTTTTATCAGCGACTAATATATTTAAGTTTGCATATACTGGTAACCTAAAGTTAAATTATTTGTGCCAATTTGATATGAAAGTGTCCCTAAATGAGATTTAAAATTATGTGGAATAACCTACAGTAAAAAATTTTCAATTGCTGTAGAGAGACGTATTAAAACACAGAATTTGGAGCTTATTTCTATATCAGAGCACATTTAAGTATGAAATCAAGACACAGGAAATTTACCAGCTAAATAAAAATATCTCGTAACCCAAAGGACCACAGAAAGGATAACAAATACATATGAAAACTTTCTGTTTTGCTACTATGTTATTGTAAACATCTCAATCTATTCTACACTCATAAACAGCTGAAAACATATTCACATGTGTTAAATTGCTGTCATTATAGAGTAGGGAGTGATCAAGTAGCCTGTAAGTATCTATAACTTGCTGAAATATTATTTGATAACAATTTACAAAGTAATTTTTTTATCCTCTTATTCAGTAAATTATTCACAGATTCAGTTTCCTCAAGCGCACTATTTGCCGATGGGGACTCTCGGCGTATTGCTAACTTCACTTGCCGTTGCGGCAAGTCGACGCATCCGAGACGAGTACCACTGTTACGCGGAAGACGAGCACCAATACCTGTTCTTCGGCACCAAAACGTCTTACGCTGTTAAATTCAAAGAGTCAGCCCCCCCTTTCCAGAGCCAAGGTAAGCTTTTGGTAAAGACTTGTATACAAATAAAATATTCGTCGAGTCATGGTTTTTAGCAGAGCCAGCCTTAGGCGAAAAGGTCGTACAGGGCCATGCACCTCTGGGGGCCCTCGGTGAAAAATACATTAAAATTCTAAAACGTTGTAAATTTAAATTATGTCAATTATGAAAAAAGAAAAAGGGATGAGTATAAATACTAATATTATGCATTATAGTTTTGTCAGATTAGTAGGTATTGTTGCGGTCCTACTTTTTTGTAGTAAGGGAGTCCCGCTATGAATGTTTGCTGTGACCCCCGCACCAGCCAAGGCACACTTCCAACTAATACCTCTAAGTGAAAAGTACAATACATTCTCTCCTTATAGTGTAATGCTCAGTATAAGTGTTTTTGTGTAAATTTTTAATGTTTTTAAGTAATTATTTCTCGCAATTCCAGAATGTTCACCTCCACTGATGTTATGGGAGTTGGTTCGTCACGGGACTCGCTATCCGATGTTTGAGGAGCATCGCCCCCTCAAACAGCTCAAAAGTGTCAAAAACAGAATTTTACGGAACCAGAAAATTTTTAACAGTAAGTTATTTTACATCACTCATTCATCAACTCTCATTAAAGAGCCTTGAATCATTTATGGTTTAGTTAAATTTGGTGAGCATTGAGCAAGTAGACCTCTTAGTAGATCCAACCAGGGTCGATTTACCGAATAGGCACGGTAGGCACGTGCCTAGGGCGCGAGGCAATTGGCTTTTTTGGGGGGCGCCAAAAATTGGAAAATAAAAAATAATAATTTGGTGGTTGTATTTGCATTTGTGATTGTATCACGGTAAACCTCTGATAATCCCTCGCGGCCGTGTTGACTGTTGACACCATTATCGTCTCCTGCGATCGCGGCAAAATTAAAAATTTTGAATATTTCCCGCGATCGTGTTTGTGTAGACATAATCATTGTCCTCCATGATCGCGGCAATAATATGAACGAACATATCTCGCGGTCATAAGGAGATTATCGTCGTCTACCGCGAATGAGAAAAAATTCAGATCTCTTCTTTTCCTGTGGTCGTGTGGACATTATCACCGTCTTGCGCGATCGCGGTAAAATTCTGATAATCCCTTGTGGCCGATTATATAATTGAATCTCCCTCAGTCCTGTTGGGATCGTAATCGTCTCCTGACGTCGTAATCGCCTCCCGCGATTGCGGCAAAATTTTTACCGTTCCCCGCAGTCGTGTAGACATCATCATCGTCTTCTGCGATCATGGCAATGTTCTGATCATCCCTCGCGGCCGTGTGTAGACATTATCGTCTCCCGCGGTCACATAAACGTCACTGTTTCATGCACGATCGCGGTAAATTGACAATTCCAGATATAAATACATCATTCATGATGGC